CCTTCGAGCAACTGCCCTACACTTTTTCATTGAAACTATTTACTTGAACAGAATTCGCTTCCCATAAGGGGTTTGACATCAATGTAGTCGCCAAGCTACAAATTGCACGATCTGCAAAGGAAATTTTTTGTGTACATTCCAGTTCTTCGAAACTGAATTATATTTCTTCAAGATCTCTCCTTACCGGATCTGTGGTGGTGCAGAGACAAAGAGCGACGCCTCCTACGCATGCGATCCAGGGAACAAACTTTGGGTCGGCTCCCACCCGGAGTCACACTGCCATTCAATCTCTCTGGAGCAGTTCAGTTGGTACCAAATTTGTCTGGCAGGATAAACAAATTTTACCTGAGCAGTGCTTTCAGCAAGCTGTTGTGTATAAGTCCCACTCAGTAGTCATAATGATTCTCAATGGAACTAGGATGCGTGGCACACTCCAAAAAGAGATTGATCAACCACCAGATTTTTGTCTCTTATCCTCCCACCTTCTGAGTAGGAACTCACAGAATCCTTCACTACATTCATTATCTGTTAATGGATCAAGTTCAGCACGGTCTCGATAAATATACCTCAAAGGGCCATCAAATCAGTCAACCTTGAAAACCACGAGAGCCAACTGTCGCCAGCCAGTAAAATTGCCACTATGCTGGATGGATGCTGCTTCTGACCCTCTCGTCAGTCATGTAATGGTGCTCGCAATGAGAATGACCTTAAGTGTTAATTGCCAGTTGGTGTGGATGGTCCATAATCAGGGACTATGCATAATTGATCACTCAAAAATCGTCAATCATGTCAAGAACAATGCTCGAGTGCTGCTGCGAACAAGTGGTCGAGCAAATCCGCTCAACAAAACAGTCGAGTACTAAGCTGCCTCCACTCACCACTCACTACCATCAAGAGGTGGTTGGTTGGCTATTGGAATTAGCACGAGTTTTGAGGGATTACTGAGAGGGTAGCTCTTATTGAAATGAACAAGACTGTTGGCAATCAGTCTCTTTTTGAGATGGGCCACGCATTCGGCTTCTATTCAGAATTGCAGTAGCTGTTGAAATGATTTCTTTACCAAAAGAAGAGCTTTTTCATCGGGTTAATAGGATCATTAAAGCCGAACCATTTTAATAATCATAACTTTTTACGGTGCTAGCAAGTTTCATAGCGGATTTGCAGGAATCACATAGAGCTGATTTCGACGATTCATTTCCATATTAGCTTTCACATATTAAGTTTCCACGGTTGCATAGTCTCGTCGGTTTAGCACGAGTCAATTAAGACCAGAAAGATGGGAACGATTAGAGCTTGGGCGAGAATGGACCTAACTGCCACATGTTTGCTACCACCGTCATTTGCTGCCCTTTTTTACTTCTACAAACTGATTTCATCATATTTCCAGGAAAGGAGCGATCAGACTATCCGAGGAAAAACAGTATGCCATCTTCTACCACAGCCTGATCCCAGTTTTTTTTTACCTTCTCTGTTTCTGAATACTTAAACACTCACATCGAAGTAAAGAAAATCATTCCTTACGCTTCTAGTAGGAGGAAGCAAGCAAGTACTACGAAGAAGATAGTGGGCAAAATTGGACTAGATGTTATCTCAGAGCATTGTGATCCTGTCTTTGTCTCTTGTAATCGGGGCTAATGTTGCGGGACTCTCGATTACCTTCTGATGAACCGACCGCAATTTTCTAAAAGCGGGTCAGTGGTCGTAGTATCCAAGATGGCTTTGTTATGGATTCCGCTGATTGCCATCCAATCACCTTTGTAAAGGAAGATCACCTTAAGAGTAGGCCTGTGCAGACGATTTTCAGTTCCTGGAACACAATCAAATTGCTACTACAGCTGCCCTGGACTCTAAAAGAGTTGTTCCCTAAAAAGGCAGATCGTCTAATTCCCAGAGCAATGTTAGCAGCTGGGAGTACAGACAAACATTTATTCTTCCTTGTACTTAAAATTTTTCACACTTCAGTCTACTCCCAAAAACATCAACAGTTCGTAACGATTCCAAATTTTTTTAAAGTCAAATATTGTCGCTGATCTGCCGACCACTTCAAGGCAAAAAGTGAGTGCCTAGCTTCCGAAAACCTTCAGTTCCTTGTTCAGTAAGACAGTTAGGTCATTTTTCAGGTGGTTCTTATCTATAAGACGGCTGCTGAAGACGTAAGTGAGCTAGCGTTCAGAAGGAGCTAACTCAGGATTGTACGAAGGGTGCTGTGGAAATCCGTTACGAAATTTCTTGATCTCGAGCTCTATCGTTATCGAAAGGTGTGTTCCTGGTTGTTCCGGAGGAAGTGGACTTCGTTAATTTGTGGGTCTTGGTGGGGTTGGCGGACCTACTAAGTTGGTATGTGGAGTCGCTTGATGCCTGATGCGACTTGCAGTGTTGGCGGGCCACTGCTCTTCACCACCAAGCTCCCCACTCCATCTCCCCACTCCATATCATGAGCCCTCTTGCTCCTCTTTTACTTCTTAATGTGAGCCACCACTTTGAAGATGTCACTTTTTCCTCTAGTGTGTTTTGTAATCAGAATGTTCCTTGTAGTAGATGGCGACAACAGACAATTCAGAACCGAAAATAGTC